CGAGCTCTCATTCGCTCTTCTATGGGGGAAGAGAGGAAGGGTTTGGGAGAGGGACACTGCCAAAACTTTATGTGTCAGTACCTAAATCTGCCTCATTTTTCAGACAAACCCATTCAGCGTCAGGCTGTGTCATAGGCCTACAATCAGTGCAAGGGGTAGAGCCCGTCCCCCACCTCTCTGGAGGTATCATTTGTTCTCATCTCTGGTTCACTTGCTTCTCTAAAGCCCTGCTCTGATTTACACAGATTGTTCTCAGAAACAGAAGATGATTTTTAAAAACTGGATCAAAGAGGCCATCTTACAGGGAAGCACTTGAGACAATAGATAATCCTGCAAATTGTTGCCACTTGAATAAATTTGCAGCATCAATCGTCTATTGACATGTGTCGGTCACCGTCTAAATCAGTCTATTATCTCTCAATGGAGGGGTCACTAACAATGTTCAGCAGAGGAGTGTTTCCATAGTGGCGTCTGAGAAGATTCACTTGGTATCATTGCATCTGGGGAGAGGCAAAAAGACCAACTTTAAACCTAGGGCAGCTGTGGGGGTGGGAAGATTGATATTTGGACAACATCATGAAGAGAAAGGAAAGAGTAGGGAATGTGGTATCTGTGAGGGGGAGAGAGAAAAAATGTCCTGTCAGGAGGAAGAGAGCATTTTTGACTGAGAATGGCTAGAGCTCAATCCCTGGGGCATTTGTCCATAATCCCGCTGCTTAGGAAACTTGAAAAGAGATTTTAAAGTATCCCACAAAGGCTAAAACAGCCAGTCTAGGCAAAAATGCAATCAAAATTAAAGACACAAATAGATAAACATCAGATCAGGGCATCCCATCAGTGAGCGAGCAGGAGGTGGCCGAGTGCCTGGGGCGGTTTGTCTTTTCCAGCCAGGGTCCTTTGTGAGGGGTCAGGGGCCTGGAAGAATGTGCTGTGTGATGAATTTGAAGCTGGAGGCTGAGGCCAGATGAGTGGAATGGAGAGCAGGAAGCTGATGCTCTCTCCAAATTCCCTGGAGCTTATTGCATTGTGAAGTCACGAAGCTTAATGAAAGAAAATGCACCCAAATGCAAAAGCTGGGCAGGGCTAGCTCACCACTGAGGCCCACACACTAAATAAAGCCACAGAGAACATGTCCACAGGCTTCTGCTTGCTGGGAAGGCCCCTCTCGGTACCGGAGGTCCCAGTATGTCAGAGGACAGAGGTCATTTGCTGGGCATTGTGTTTCTAATTTTGTCCAGGTAAAGGAGGGTCACCTGGCATTTCTGAAAGTACCTGAAGGTCGCTCGTGACTCACGCCCTTGTCCAGAGTCCCCTGGCAACTTGAATGTCTTCACCCATCTCGTTTTCATTTCTCTAACCTGTGGAAAAGTTGTCACTGATCCACACCGAAATGAAACGAAATAATGATGTGCCGAATTTTTTTATGCAGTTTTACTTCTTTGAAAGAACTGTCTCTCCCCCTGAAGTTAGGTCCTTTCTGTCTGCTCTGTTTGCATGGACTTTCTTTATGACACGATGCAGGTAACAGGAGGTCCTTTTTAATTTAAAAACCTTACGTTGATCACTGATTTTTTTCCTGGCGTGTGAAATCGGCAAGTCCTTCACCTGTCCCCTCGCCCTGGGCTCCTTTAGCGCTGTCGCAGGCAGCCTCATGAAACCCTGCCTTTTCCTTTACAACCTTCCTCAGCCCCACAACCGCAGTGATGAAGCCGGACCAGGGCCTCCCTCCGCCGCAGGGGTGGGGAACCTTTTTTCTGTCAAGGGTCATTTGGCTATTTAAAACATCTTTCTTGGGCCATACAACGTTATCAACTTAAAAATCAGCTATGAAAAAAACTCCTAGATGTATTGAATTTCAAGTCCCACTTGCGGCTGCCTTGGCAGAGCCAGACCAAATACGGCCCAAATACGGCTCTACCCTGTAATGGACCCTGAGAGGACTCGGCTCCTGCTGGACTCGTCCACCCCGACCTCACCACCCTCCACACCCTCCACGCCCTCACCTTGCTGGGCTCCTGGCCGCCTCTGCCTGTCTGAATCCCGCGTCTACGTCAAGGCTCTGCTGAGGTCCCCAGTTTGAGGTGTCCCTTCCCTCGCTGCTCCAGCGTGGCCACACCTCTGTGCACTCCAGGCCCACATGGCACTCATTTTCAATAGGTCAGTTTTTACATGTGTGACTTCTGTCCCGTCCGACTCCTGATGCTCTGTGTGTCCACAGCACCCTCATCCTGGAAGCTATTGAGAAGCTGTTAGCGGGCTGGTCAGGCAGCACCTCAGAGGCTGTCACACCTGGCGGTGGCCTCGCCTCCCTTGCGTGTGAACTTGAGCCCCATCGGTGCCTTAACTTAGACTCCGCTGCTCCTCAGAAGGCAGAACTTCCAGGGCAAGACTGTGAAGCTGGGCCACAAAGATCCCAGCTCACCCCTGTTCATTCTAAGTGCACCACGTGCAAAGGTGGTTCTTACTTCCCAGAGAGCCCGGGGCTGATACGTAGAGTCTTAGTGCCCAGCATCCTGTTCCATGCAGCAGGACATGGGGCACATGGGGAGCCTGTGAAGAGCAGAGGCGGAGGTCGGAGAGATGCTTTCTGCAGGAAAAGGGAGATGTTCCTACTTTATATTGAATGGAGCTAGAAAACAGACACCAGCCAAAGGGCTGAAAGGGGGCAGGCGAGTGGCAAGGGGGGAACGGGTGAGCAGAGTGCCGGCAGGTGGCATCGCCTGTATAGGAAGCTGGAGTTCTCACTGTGAACCGAGCACCGGCTTACCCAAGGCTGACGGGCCAGGGGCCAGGTGTGGTCAGTCAGAGCCTGACCACGTCACCTCACCGCACCCTTTTCTGTTTCCGTCGGCAAAAGGCGGGGAGGGGAGAATGCGGCACTGAACTACCTCTTACACTGGAGCATTCAAAGGACGTTCATTTCTTTGAAACAGTAACGTTTCCACCTTATACTATGAAAAACGCAATGAGATGCAAGAATGAGTCCAGGGTAAGATTGAGCTATAGGCTGGTTTTATCAGTAATTCTGTGTAAATAAACCTGGGCGTGTTTGTTCTCTCCAGAGCAGTGATTTCTCCAGGAAAGCAACGACAGCCACAAACCAGGCCCAGGCCCAGGCCCAGGCCCAGGCCCAGGCCCGGCTTCTTTCCTGGAAGCCTTCATCTCAGGCGTGGGGGCTGGTGGGGAGGGGCCGGGTCGCTCTCATTTCAGCTCTGCCTTTTGTGGGCCCAAACAATGATCGCACGTAATGGCTCATTTTTTCCCTTCGTTTCTCCATCGCTTGCTGCTTTCTTCTGAGGGCCTGTTTCTGCCGCTGGCTGAGCTGTGCGGCAGATTGTCAGCACGAGTCAGTCAAAGCCACGATCTGACTGATACTGTCCCCGCTGAATTAATGGGATCAGCTCGTCGGTGGGCCTGAACAGACACCGGCGGTTCTCTTACCTACATCTTCCTTCCTGCCTCCACTGTACTATCGCCCTTGCTGAATCCCCTCTACTTTTATGAGCTAGAACCTTCTCCTAATTATTAACCACATTTTTTAAAAAATGTTTTTGGTTTTTTTAGAGAGAGAGAGGAAGGGAGAGAGATAGATTGGCTGCCTCCTGCACGACCCCTCCTGGGGATGGAGCCCACAACCTGGGCATGTGCCCTGACCAGGAATCAAACGGTCAACCTTTTGGTGCCCAGGACGATGCTCGGCCAACCGAGCCACACCAGCCAGGGCTCAACCACATTTTTCAAAGCTAATATACTCTAAAAGCTCTCTGTCCTTTTATAACAAAATATAAGTACTTTTTTCTACCCCTTAACCCCTTATTGCCCCATACTTATGTACTTATACCTATTATTAGGAATACTCCCCACTTTTTTCTTCCCTGGGAACTTCTGTGTGTCACTGTTACGATGGGTGCTTTCTCTACTCGTCCACATCGGGGCTTACATTAGGTAGAACTTGGTCCAGGTCTCCAGTTCGCTTAGACCCTTTGTTAGTGAAGCAGCCTTAGTATTAATCTGAAATCTAATCTTAGGTATATTGTTGTCCCAAGGAAATCCCCGGTTTTTCATCCACAATTTGCATTTTTTCTTTCTTCAACCCACACTGTCATTTTAGAAATGTTCTTCAGCGCTACCACAAATGGAAAAGTCACCAGAAAATCAACTCTGTACCGAAAGGTTGTATGTGTAATGCATAGTTATGGTTATGGGACAGCTTTTTAAAATGTATCTTAACATTTAAGTTACAAGTTCCTCATATATGCTAAAAAAAATGTATAATAAAGCAAATAATTGTTCTGTGTTAGTAAATACATCTCATTTCATTAAACAATAAATGACTATTCAGAATACCTCCCATTCCTATAATGTCAGTGTGGACAAGGTAGACTCTCATTGTCCCAACCAACATTCCAGTCCCAGTTACCACTATAAAATATGTCAGTCACTGAGAAACCAGAAAGCCTTTCAAAGGTTTTATTTTATTAATTTGTTAAAGATGCCTCAAGATACTCAAAGAGTATGTTTAAATATTCAAATACATACATGTGTGTATATATACTATTTCACAAAGTTTTTATATATATATATATTTGTATTGCGCTGCCGTAAAGAGCAGTAGTTAGTAAAACTTTCTAAACTGATATAACAGCGAATTAAATCTACTTTGTGGAAAATAGGGAGGAATACTAAGGAATTTAATATCAGCAAACATGTTCTCTTTGAAACAGCAAATTAGATGTGCAGGCGGATTTTGGTCACACTTCAAAGACTAATCTGCTGAGATGGAGAGCTGTGCTGTTTACTCTCGCTCTCACCGGTGAGGCTCCTCTGTGTTAACCAGGCTTTGATTACTTCAAAGCATGTTTGAAGTCCTCAGTCTGCACAGCTCCTGCACAAAGACAAATACTCTTCCAAATTTGTGCGGCTGATGTTGCTGCTCGTTGTATTTGTAAGGAGAACCTTCTGTTTCCTATTTAACGCCGAGTCGATGCCTTTGTATTTAGCTACGACAGTGAAGGTCGTCTGACAAACGTCACGTTTCCTACGGGAGTGGTCACGAACCTCCACGGTGACATGGACAAGGCCATCACGGTGGACCTGGAGTCATCCAGCCGAGAAGAAGATGTCAGCATCACTTCCAACTTGTCCTCCATCGATTCTTTCTACACCATGGTTCAAGGTAAACACGAAAACATCTTAAACTGATCATTTTAAACTGGCAGTGGCACCCAAATAGGATATGGCAGCCTCGTTTTCTAAGAGGGACCGGGACGGGGGCGGTGGTAAATATAAACCTCCAGAGATAGTGACTAAGCAGCCTGATGCCTACAGGTAATGTTTGAGTTATAGATGCGTACAGGGTGAACCAAAAACATACACACACTTTGAATGATTATAAAGTTGGTGTTGATTAACATAAACTTCATTTTCAACATTTAAAAGAACCTACAGAAATGAATATTTTTTTTGTCAATGCCTGTTTTCAAACTGGTGACCATTCTGGTCCAGGCGCTGCTGATAACACGAAGCAGTGGAAACGCAAACATCAAGAATCATTTCGTTCAGTGTTTGTGTGCCCTCAGTTCATCCACTGTTGCCAGTTTTGAACTGTAAACTTTATCTTTTATGTGTCCCCATAAAAAAAGGTCTAGTAGCACTTTCGGATAAATTTTCTTTGTTCAAAGCTTAGCCTGGCTCCACCCAATACTTCACATCAGTAAAACTGAAAAGGAGGGAAAATTAAGTGAGTTATCAGCTGTTAAAGTGTGTGTACGTTTTTTGGGACACCCTATAACAAAATGTTAACCTGGAAACGGCGTCCTCTTCCATTCCCATTTAATAAAACGGCTTAATTTCAACACTTCACGCGCATCATCAGACCTTTCTTCAGCCATCACCCAGTTGTCCCGAGCATGTGACCTTCACTGCCAGGGCGTCCCGTTGTTGGAGGCACAGCCCTTTCTGAATCTGTGTGATACGGTATCTGGACGCACCTGTGATGTGGTCACTGGGAATTTTATCCCAATTCCAAATACCCATTTATGTAGCGTCTGGACCCTGAGGGTCTTCACTCTGTGGGCACATATATCCAATGTCTCCGTGACGGACCCTCCTGCCGTGTTCCTCTTTGAGACAATCCTGAAAAAGCCTGTTTCCAATGACAGTTGTAACTGTGTGGTCGTAGCTCTAAGATTAACTCCTAAATCTGAGTTAAACTTCTTGGACTCCTTTTTTTTCCACTGATTCTGCCAGGTAATCTCCACAGCCACCTAAAATTAGTATTGCTTGAAATCATTATTCTCCAAATGGTCCTGTTAGGCAAGTGTTTTGAATTGAAGCAGTAACCTGCCATATGAAAGTGGGTTTGTACCAAATGTAAGATGACTCTCTTTCTTTAAAGTCAATATCAGGGGGAATATCACCTTATATTTTTGGTATACAAGGTATAGATAGTAAATCTTTATAAAAGTTCTTTGATAAAAGATACAGAGGTGGGGGGTGGGGGGAAGCTTCTGGACATTGGAGGTGACACACCAGCCTCCAGAAAAGTGCATTCTTGGCTCTTTGCAAAACATTTACTGCACTTTCCTTGGAGGTTGAGCCTTCATGTATTTCATCAGGCAAATGAGAAAAAGAAGTCTATTAAAGTGGAGAAAGACTGTAAATTCTCCTAAAGTCTTTCTCTAAGAGCCAAACCCGGTACAGGGTGCAATGCCAGGAATCAGTCGTTTTACTGTTTTCTAAGAGGACATCATTAAGCGTTTTTATGTCCTTATGAATGGAGTGCTGGCCACATGTTAGAAATTTGTGTCACTTTTAACTGCATAGCCGGCCGGGTGTGTAATCCCCATCTATAGTTCACGTTCTCTGCGTCTGGTTCTGCAGATCAGCTGAGGAACAGCTACCAGATTGGCTACGATGGCTCCCTGAGAATCATCTACGCCAGTGGCCTCGACTCGCACTACCAGACAGAGCCACACGTGCTGGCCGGGACAGCGAACCCCACCGTCGCCAAGAGAAACATGACTCTTCCGGGTGAAAATGGCCAAAACCTGGTGGAATGGAGATTCCGAAAAGAGCAGGCCCAAGGGAAAGTCAACGTCTTTGGCCGAAAGCTAAGGGTGAGTGAGTGTCGGAGAGCAGGCGGTGGCCGCCGGTCCTCCGTGTCGTGTGGATGGCTGTCCACAAGGGCAGGCCTGGGACTCAGCTCCTCCCTCTGCTGCTGCGCTCGGTGAGCACCTTGCCCCTGGGTGTGACCCTTAGCCAACAGTCAAGCCATCCGAGCATTCAACATAAAAGCCGCTATTTGAAAGAAGGTTTTTCTCAGTCTTTCCAAGATTAAAAATAATCCCTCCCTGGAATTAGAAAATTGCAGGTAGCATAATCTCAAATAGCCCAGATGTCAATTGGTTCTTATTTTACTAATGTTATCTTTAAAATCTTAGACTTTTCCTTCACCCACTCAGGACATTGGCTTCCTAACGTGGGAATGGAGTTAATTAAGAATTGGCTGAGCCCTGGATGGCATGGCTCAGTGGTGAGAGCGTCGGCCTGGGCACCGGAGGGTTACAGGTTCGATTCCTGGTCAAGGGCACTTACCTGGGTTGCAGGTCCCATCCTGGGCCCCCCAAGTCAGGGCACCTGTAGGAGGCAACCAGTCGATGGGTCTCTCTCACAATGGTGTTTCTCTCCTTCTTTCTCTCTTTTTTTTAAAATATACATTTATTGATTTCAGAGAGAGGGAGAGAGAGAAACATCAATGATGAGAATCATCAGCTGCCTAGCCCACAACCTGGGCATGTGCCCTGACCGGGAATCGAACCCCGATCATCTGGATCCTAGGTGAACGCTCAACGGCTGGGCTTCTTCTTTCTCACTCTTTCCCCGCCACCCTCCTCCCTTCCACTGTCTCTAAAAATCAGTGGGAAAAATATTGAAAGAGGTGGATTATGTCTTTACATTGTCAGTATTTTTAAAGTGCAGTTTGGTCACATAAGAGAGTATCGACGTCAGAACCTAACCGCTGCCTCCTCACTATTGATTTATACTATTTTCAGGAGAAATGTAATGATATTTCTGATTATGCTGGTGTACTTGGTCTTTGCATGATGTTCTCTGCATCACCTGGTGAGGTGTTCTTTCCCTCCACTTCACATCGCGAGCCAGATACAGCTCGGAAGCAAGCTGTGATTGATGCCACCTATTTGGTACTTAATCTAAGACAACATAGATTAAATACTACAACACGGGTTACAAGAAAACCACCTTCGGACCACTGTAAGCGGAACCTGATTCATTCTTTCCATTAGTAAACAGGTTTTAGTTTATCAGATAACTAGGTAACTATTCCTAAAACTTCTTTCCTTGCAATTAAACAAAAGTACTTAAAAATCAAGGAGAGGGAACAAAATACAGAGCACACCATTAATGTTTTCTGCACCAAAAAAAATGGTTAAATTTTTATTATAACAGTCCAAAATTATTTACCTTAGCAAACGCTCGGGGTAAAAAAAAAAAAGTTACTACAATACTGTCTCTATTTCCAAGAAATGGAAGTGGAAAAAGAATCGGTAGATCACATACATACTGTATGCACCTTACGGGTTATGTCCTGATTCCACTCAGGTGCAAGGCAGGTGTTCGGGACTCAGATCCATGGTCTTCTGGAGCCAGTGTCATATGCTCCATCCTCACCCATACCCAGGCTGTGCAAGCAGGATGCCTGAGGCCCAGCCCCACGGATCAGGAGGCAGGCAGGAGCTGGGGAGGCTGGGGAGACGTCAGTTCGGTGAGAGAAGAAGGAAAAGCAGAACCCTAGGAGGAACAGGAAGGATTAGGGTTGGAGGGAAAGTGATGGGCAGGAAACAGGCTCGGACGTGTTCCAGGTCACTGTGCTGGGGTCTCGGGCTGTTGCTGCCTTTCCTTCCGCTGACCCTGGGACTCAGTAGCTGCCTGCACCCCTCTCTGCCTCCACCACTCACTGCTTCTCCCCAGAACCCCCACTTCCTTGGGCCACTGCAAACCAGAAGCCAGTGCAAGGCCTTACCCTGTTGAGCTCTCCCTAAAGCAGGCACAGTGTGCACGTGGTCTGGGTCACCGGGCTCACTGCATCAGATATGCAAAGACACCGCGTACATGCATGCTCCCCATAGACACAGCCTCAACCTGCAATTCAGAAACTACGGGTTCTAGATCGGGCTCCCTTTTTACTAGCAATTAACCTTCAGGGAAAATCCTAACATCCGTAAACTTCATTTTCCCTCTCTAGATCGTGATGTCTGCTTCACGGGCTGAGGAATATATTAACCTGGACACTAGCTTATGATATAGGCATGATAGAGCTGTATTGTGGATAAATGACATTCACCCTCCCCTGCCTGTTTCCCACCATTGCACAGAATCACCTGAGACAATGGGAAGGTACTTTGAAAACAAAAGGCCCAATTGTGAATTCCTAACCCAAACCCAGACGCCGGGCATCTAGACACACGCAGAAGAGGGATGGGAAGGAGCTGTCATGGTCATTGGTTAGGAAAATGCCGAAAGAGGGAAGAAAAGAGCAATATGTTGCCCAGAAACTTACAGCAGAACATGTTGACCACTGTTCTTTGTGATGATTTTTGTCTTAAGTGTATCTTTTATATATAAGAGTGTGTGTGTGTAACGCTGCTTTTTTAGACATAAAAAGAAATTTGGAAGAATAGAGGAAGAGGGGAAATCTGATCTTCAGTCACTTGTTCTCTGTCTGATTCTAAATGAAGAAAATCCCTCGCTTTGGGGAGGAAGAGACTGGTGCTCACAGGCCTGGTGTTAGTTTCCTTCAAAACAGCAAGACCACAACGCAAGGCCGCAGCGACACATTTCAGAAAACGCACTGTTTAAAGTGGCCTGTGCGGTCGCCCTGGAGGGAGATTCCCCGCCAGTGTGCGTGGCTGCCCTCGGAAACAATGCCGGCTTCACAGGGAAGGGTTTCTTACTTTCGAGATAAGATTGGATGTGCCAGCTCCGACTGCTAATTTCATTCCTCGGTGGATTCCGAGAGAGGAATTCTAAGGAGAAAGCGATGATGGGAAAACCTGGTCTCAGGACTGAACCTGGAGCCTGCAAAACAGGGGAGAGAGGAGACAGGAGACCTGCGGCCACCACGGCACCTGGATCAGCACAAAAGCCACCCGCCCGCATCCCATCCTTTCCTGAGACGGAGGATGCCTCCTCTCTTACCTCCCGTTATTTCCTAGCAGGAAGTTCTTTTTGTTTTCAAGTTATTTGACCTCATTGTAGGGATGTGCCTGACACGGGATGGCCACTCAAATATTTATTCAATGAATGAAGAAACAAGGAGAAGCCAAGCATATGATGTGGGTCATTTATTTCATCGCATCTAGCTCTCCAAGAGAGGGGCTGTGTGCATAGCTCATCCTTGCAAATGTTTGACCGCCGTAAACAACCCTAACGCCGGATGTGAGAAAAAGAAATTATATAAGACACTCGCCACATGAAAGCGTTTTCTGTGAAACAATGCTGCTAAGGGGAGCGGGGGTGGATACAGTAGCAAGTAACCAGCAAATGAAATTGTGACAGAGATGTGGGAAACAATAGCAGAATGAAGATAAGACAGCTCCTTCACTTACCCATTTGTAGTTAAATTTGTTTTAAAAAGACACGTAATAGTTGCTGGTCTTTATATTATAATGTTTAGTAAACAGTCCTCATTTCCGTCAGGGGTGGACTCTGGAACCAGCCTCTAATCCATTACCAAAAAAATGTGTGCCATTCTAATAATAAAATTCATCTTCTGAACATGCCCAGAATTCAGATGCTTAGAGGAAAAAACTAGTCAATTACTTTAAAAAGAAATCCTCAAGATTTGCCAGCCAAGTGTGTGTAAAGGCAGACCTGAGCATGACGGCCTGTTGAAACCTCACTATGCCGGTCACGGTCGTGCGGTGCCGTTTCTCACTTTAATCTGAGTGCCACAGACCAGAGCAGTTAGCACGCGCTGACGTGTGGAGACACAGAGCCGTCTGCAGCCCAGTCCTGTTCCAACAGGGACACGGGGAGTCCTGGTGCTGTCGCCGAGCATGCTGGGTAAGGAGCGGCCCACCCTCCCGCCGCTGGGTCACGTTCCCAATACATGATTACGATCCGGTGGTGCTCTGTGTCTTTAAACATTAAAGACGCTGTTTCAGTGTCTTTGTGCCTTAGTTTCTCGAGCATTCCACGGGGCAAACGATGCTCCCCTTCCGGTGTCAAAGGCCCGCTGTGATTAATCACAGTCGTGCAGGACACGATTTT